TTTTTTGTAGTGACAAACACGGCATTAAATAAAGAAAATTACATGCTAAACACCTATCGTTTTCATACGCTTCTGAATATGCTACGTACGCATATAATATTGTGAAACCAACGTGCTGCAGTCAGATATAGGTCATCTATTTGGGTTTACGCACAGGCGTACTCTACCAATATTATTGTGTTATTAACTTCGATACTAGTGTGAATTTTAGTAGGACAAACAATGACTTCATAAATTTGAATTTGGATCGGCTTTTGTATCGATTGGTTTGGGAAGTAACCCCGTGACAAGTATACACATACAATGATTAAGCTTATTTAAAATCATTTTTAAGCATTTTGATGCAAATAAATAATAAATAAAAGAAATATTTAGACATCATATACGTTACTCTGATCCCAAAGTAAGTAACTAAAGTACTTATGTTATGAAAATCGGAAAGAACAACGGCACCACAAACACCCAGACCCAAGACAATATAGAAAAGTTAAGGATCGAATGCCTCAGAGACGCGACACCATGAAAACCGATGTACAAGCCACTCGACCAAATGGTAAAATTTTTATGTGTCCTATATGTGGCCATATTTAACTGACTGGACTCGAAAAAGTGTTTGTTACCATGCCGATGCCTAAGTCACCGCTCTTAATCGATTAAGACCGAGACAGCAGCAGATCTCAGGAATTTCTTAATGGGTTTGTTACAGAATTATGATAGCAAACTAGTGGAGTATTTTCACAAAAAATAGAAGAAACATCAAGATACATAAATATACCATTTTATAAAACAATATGCACAACTATCAATATTCCCCAGTGTAAATAGAATCTATATATAATACCTATATATATAAATTGATTATTATACAAATTGTTATATTTTGTTTATTGCTTTTTTGTCTGTTGCTACAATTTATTATATTGTTTCTTCTTTTTGAATTTTTTATTTTGGTTTAATCCTTTCTATTGTGTTTTGTTTGTCTAAGTATTATCTAAGCATCGTTGCAATAAATGTATATTCTATTTTATTCTATTCTATTCTAATGGAGAAAGTAACTCTGTCTTTTTCAATTTCTGACCTAGGAGAACGACACACGACGACAAAAGTAACCTACTTTTTGTCACAAAAATAAATCTTAAGTAATTGAAATAGGGGAGGAAAGTTTGTACGGAGAATTAATAATTTTTCAAGTTAGCAGTATAGTAGGCTACTCGAAGTACTTATTCTACGTAGACGAAGTCACGTGCACCAGCCAGTATGTCTATAAGAATTTATAAAGTGACAGTTACGGTTTACCCTAGCGCCATACCTGCTGAAATTTCGACGTTATCAATTTATATCGATACTTGTTGCGCTACACCTAGTGCTAGAATGTACTTATATACTCATTTACATAGTGACCACTAGGTAATTAATAATATCGTAAAACGATCTAAAGTAAACTCATACGCGTTTAATTTACTCACACATTGCATTATGAAATCAGGACAAGGTTATGCCGAGTCGGGTGTACTGTGGTAACACTGTTTGTAGAACCACTGGGAAAAATGTAACCCCAATTATACAACTGTCTGTAAGCTCATGGTAGAAAAAAATGCGTTTGGTTGGTAGAGTGCTCACTATAACACTTCTGTAGCGGACTGTATCGATTGGTTTCGGGTGGGTGCTAACAACGAGTGAGCAAAACAGAAAAACAATAGTGAAGAAAAGGCGCCAAAAACAATCACATTTAAAATTAGAATTTAAATATAAAAGTAAACTTAAAAAGACTATATAAAATATATATACAAAAGAGATTTGTAGCGGCTGCTGCGATTCGTTACAACTTCATTTGAAGAAAACCAATGCCAAGTGACAGGACGAACAAGTCCTGTGCCTGGTGACAAGCAATGCGCCTGTCCATAGCAGGTAGCAGTAGCACCGCCACTACGCCCGTCACCCTGAGACTTAAGTTGACAAGTCCCAAAACGAGTTCTTAGGTTTTCGCGATTGTTACACATAGGAAATGAAACTAGTTTTCCGGATTTAAATAGCGTATATTACAGTTACAGTAAACCAACGTTACAGTTACAGTTTCTCCTTATCACCAGTTTGGGATCCAGTATTTCCTCTGATGAAAAATCCCAAACAAACATAAGACTGCAGTACTAACTAATATGTTTTAGTTTATCCTGATTTCCATTACTAATTTATAATAAATTTAACTTAATAAAAATTAATATTGTTACAATAAAATAATTTGTAAAACAATGGCGCGTAAATTGGAATGCTTCTTTGTAAAATTAAAAATAAGGTATTTATTGATATTACACATGAGTGGTTGATAACTGTACCACCTCAGTCAACCTTGACCATGGAACCTGTAAAGGACCCGAAGCTTTTGTTTGTTTGAAAAAACAAATGTACGCGATTTAAATCCGGAAAAATTGTTTGACAAGTCCCATTTGCCTGTTATTCCGCCAGCACCCTTGCCCTTCAAAATCAGAACGCAATAATGCTCAACATTACTGCTTGGCGGGTGAAATAAGTAAGGTGGCAGTACTTCCCTGGACAAACTTATTAACAAGGAGCTTTACAGCTACTACTATGCCAACTGGACGAACAAGTCGTGCGCCTGATGGTAAGCGACACGCCTGTCCGTAACAGTTGCCTAGCCACTCGGAGCTTTAAAACACAAAGATCTGAGGAGTACTCCCACTACACCCGTCCCCTGAGACATAAGTTGACAAGTTCCATGTGCATGTAATTTCACCAGCATCGTTACCCTTCAAAACCGAAAGGTAGTAATGCTCACATTACTACTTTGCGGTTGAAATAGGTAGTAGTAATACGAAGGTAGGCGGTAGGTGATGTGGCAGTAATACCCTGGACGAACTCTTTCACAAGGAGCTCCACTGCTACCAGTGGTCTCAAACCTACCTTTTTTCGGTATTTCTGCCGATTTGGCGCTTGTTCTACCGAAATACCGAAGGGGAATACCGATTTTTTTAAGAAAGGAATTTCTCCCGATTTTCTACCGATTTTCAACAATCCAAGTTGGCATCCCTATTTTTTTATCTTTTACAGGGATTCCCTGCTGCTCAAACGTCGATCGACGTGTAAACGATTTATTTGGGGAATACTCTTGTATTCAAGAACTTACCATTTTAGGGGATTCCCGGAGCAAATTTTTAGTCTATATAAATAAGAATTCGGATTTTATTTCATTTATTTTTTATGGAAATTTGTTCCATTTATAGTTTTTTAATTTACCGATTTTTGGTCTAAATATACCGATTTTACTTGGCAACCTTATCGATTACGCATTTTGACTTTCGAGGCCACTGACTGCTACAAGCTAATAAACCTATAGAGTAAAATATTGTAAAAAATGTTTCTCAACGACGTTTTCATTCGCCTTTAGAGCATTTAATATGAAAATAATAACAAACGCATAAAATATATCAGTTTCACTGGATGTGGTCAACACAACGACGCAATATAGATAAATTAAATACCTACCTACTAAATAGGTAACTTAGGTATGCCAGGTCTAAAACAGGTTTAGCTGCATTGCCTAGGAACCTCGCCCTGTTTTAGATGTCACCTAGTGTGTTTACGAGATGTGAAAGTATACTTTTCCAGTTTTGTTTGTAGCAGTTGATCTCTGTGAGAAAAAGGTCGTTCAGGGAGGTATTGCCACGATACTTATTTTTGCCACCAAGCAGTAATGTGAGAATTGCTGTGTTCTGGTTTTAAAGGGTAAAGGTGCTGGTGAAACTGTCGACATATGGGACTTGTCACCTTTATGTCAGTGTGATGGGTGCAGTGGAAGTGCCCCTCCGATTATTGTGATTAAAACTCTGAGGCGCACTGAAGCTGTTATGTGTAGGCGTGTCGCTTTCCACCAGGCGCATGACTTGTTAGTCCTTTCACTTGACGTATGGGATAAATACCTTTTTTAAAGATTTCACTCTCTTAGTTTTTTATTTATGAATTCGTAATTGTAGTAGAATACATAGGCATTTGACACAGTAGCATAATGTTGTACAATGCTTTTCCGACATTTTTTTGTGACACCAAGTGATAGGACGAACAAGTCGTGCACTTGGTGTTAAGCGACCTGCAATCCATAGCAGTTTTTTTAACCTACTTTATAAGCGTAACCGGTAACCGATTTTAATAAAACTTGGCAAATAGATGTAATTCCACGTACTTTTGAGGTCGGTTTTT